CCAAGAAACTCCCAGCTTGCAGCTGCCATCCTCACTTGCCACCACCTTGGGTGTTGCAAACAGAATGCAACAACGCCTAACTCTTAGTCACTTAGAAAATCCCAAGAACAGCACTGCGATCCACAAAGCCTGAGTTCGGCACACAGGTTCCCTCTACAATGAATGGGGGGAGCTAGGCACCTTGCAAGTGATTCACAAAAGCCAGCATCCTAGGCAAGGAACTGCCTAAATTAGCCAATGGGCGATGTCCGAAGCCCTGCCCCCTCACTGAGACAGGTTCCTAAGTATGGGCTGCAGGGATGCACCTAGCGCTGCTAGCAATTCACAAGCAGAAACCCCTTTCCTGGAGTCAGGCAGCTCAGGTGCTTAACTCAGTGTTAGCTGCCTGCCTCACTCCACACAAAACAGTAGGAGGAGATGTTCGTGCCATGCCCCTCCTTACAGCTTCTAGTCCAGTGCTTAGAGCGCTCACCTGTATCTGGGAGACCCAGGTTCAATTCCCACTTCAGGCAGAGGGGGAACAAAAGACTGGAAAAAGCATCTCCCACCTCTCAGGTGAGTGCTAGACCCACTGAGCGATGGGATATTCTGAAGTAGGGCTCTCTCAGTCTCTCCTGCTGAAGCTGTTCCTCTTTGGAGAAGAGTCTTTGTGCCACAGGGGAGAGAATGAAAATCTCTTAGCCTGGTGGTCAGGGCATGGATCCAGGGGCCACTCCCCCTGCTCCAGTGACTAATTATTTATTCAAAGTGGAACAGTTTCAACAGGAGATTGAAGGAGACTATCCCATAGCTGGATGGTGAGCGCACTCTCTTCAGCAGACCCCTGTTCAAATCTCTTCTCTGCCTTGGGGAGGAACTGAAACTGGGTCTCCCACATCCCAGGTGAGTGCTCTCACTACTGGGCTAAAAGTTATAAAGTGGGTACCACCTCCTCTGCCTCCTCTATTGGGCTTGAAATCTGAGATAGGCAGGTGAACACCCCAGGTCATGGATTGCACTGGGGCTTAGGTAGGAGAAAAGTGTCCAGAAAGAGGCAGAAACATAGGAGCCTCGGGAATGTTTATCCTGAAAATTTAGACACAAATGAGTTCAGGGACTTACAGGGTTTATCAGGATCTCAGTGGAGCCTAAAATTAGTAGTTAGGAGCCTAAACCTCCCTGGGGTATAGGCCCCTAAGTATTTTTGTGAATCCCCGCATAAGATCTTATAGACCATAGAAATGTAAGGCTGAAAGGAACCTTGAGATCATCTAGTCCAGCCCCTGCACTGAGGCAGGATGAAGTACAAGCTTGTCTTACCTAGCCACATAACTCAATACAGGACCAAGTGAAGTTGAAAGCAAAGCAGCCCTTACGATAGAATTACTCTTTATGCGCAATTAATAGCTACTTGCTGTGGACAAGTTTATAGTGACACAATAACCTTGTCACAGGGTCCACTCACTGTTGGGGAACCGTCTCCTGGCCTCTCTGGAGAGTAGCTCTTTCCAGGGCTGATGCTCCCTTCATACCCTACTACCCCTCTCTCTCCCAGTCCATGTGACTGCAGGTGCTCCTTCTTTGTGACTTGGGCCTCTTCCCAGGTCCCCATGCATCTTTCCCTGCTCTGGGGTAGCAAAATCTTTTCTAACAAATGGGCTGAGGAAGCCGTCCCAGTCACTGCCCAGCTAGTGCCACTTCCCTGCCACCCATAGTATCATAGAATCATAGAATATCAGGGTTGGAAGGGACCTCAGGAGGTCATCTAGTCCAACCCCCTGCCTAAAGCAGGACCAATTCCCAACTAAATCATCCCAGCCCGGGCTTTGTCAAGCCGGGCCTTGAAAACCTCCAAGGAAGGAGATTCCACCACCTCCCTAGGTAACGCATTCCAGTGCTTCACCACCATCCTAATGAAATAGTGTTTCCTAATATCCAACCTAGACCTCCGCCACTGCAACTTGAGACCACCGCTCCTTGTTCTGTCATCTGCCACCACTGAGAACAGCCGAGCTTCATCCTCTTTGGAACCCCCCTTCAGGTAGTTGAAAGCAGCTATCAAATCCCCCCTCATTCTTCTCTTCTGGAGACTAAACAATCCCAGTTCCCTCAGCCTCTCCTCATAAGTCATGTGCTCCAGACCCCTAATCATTTTTGTTGCCCTCCGCTGGACTCTTTCCAATTTTTCCACATCCTTCTTGTAGTGTGGGGCCCAAAACTGGACACGGTACTCCAGATGAGGCCTCACCAATGTCGAATAAAGGGGAACGATCACGTTCCTCGATCTGCTGGCAATGCCCCTACTTATACAGCCCAAAATGCCATTAGCCTTCTTGGCAACAAGAGCACACTGTTGACTAATATCCAGCTTCTCATCCACTGTGACCCCTAGGTCCTTTTCTGCAGAACTGCTGCCTAGCCATTCGGTCCCTAGTCTGTAGCAGTGCATAGGATTCTTCCGTCCTGAGTGCAGGACTCTGCACTTGTCCTTGTTGAACATCATCAGGTTTTTTTTTGGCCCAATCCTCTAATTTGTCTAGGTCCCTCTGTATCCGATCGCTACCCTCCAGTGTATCTACCACGCCTCCCAGTTTAGTGTCATCTTCAAACTTGCTGAGAGTGCGGTCCACACCATCCTCCAGATCATTAATAAAGATATTAAACAAAACCGGCCCCAGGACCGACCCTTGGGGCACTCCGCTTGAAACCGGCTGCCAACTAGACACGGAGCCATTGATCACTACCCATTGAGCCTGACAATCTAGCCAGCTTTCTATCCACCTTACAGTCCATTCATCCAGCCCATACTTCTTTAACTTGGTGGCAAGAATACTGTGTGAAGAATACTTCTACTAGGGGCTTCCTGTCTTTATAAACCCAGCCTAGCTCCTCCCTCCTCAGCTAGGCTCCCTCAGTTAGTCAGGGGACTCCTTAAACCACCTGGTTCCCCTCAGGTGTGGCTTGTCTGGTTAATTGGCTCCCATCTTAGCCTGCATTAACCCCTTCAGGAAAAGTGTTGATGGGAACAGGTGTAATAGGGAGACAGAAAGACTGAATTAGTCCAAACGAAGAGGCCTAGGGATATAACTCAAGGACTGTGTTAAGATTATGCCTTGTTAACAAGCATGGGACCAGAAATCAATGAACCAAAATTGATGTGTTGGCAATTAGGCCTAATTGGTGGACAAAATAATGAGAGGATGGGCTATTCCACACACCACTCCCTTTTGGAATTCTTAAAAAAAGTAAAGACATGGGGGGAAAACATGGACAGAGGAGTACGCTGCTTGACTGAAAGACAAGAGAAAGAGAAGGAATGAGCTTCGCCATCATAGCTACCACCCCAACCATCTCCTGGGACTCCAGCATCTACCCTGACGCCCTGGTGCCTTCTTTGCATCCTGGGAAATGTCCTGACTAGACCAAGCCAGAAAGCAGGATCCTGATGATACCTCCTCTGGCTAAATTCCAAACATCATCTGAGATATGAGACCTTGTTTCCCTGGGGCCATTGTGTTCTCGACCTTCCGTATTGTATTTTTCCTCTCCCCCTGCCCCCTTTTCCTTCTGTCTAACAGCAGTCTATAGTCAGCCAAGACTGTATATTTTACAACACTGCTGTAAGCCTGTGACCAGAAAAAGACAGCTGAAAGCAATGCCCTAAATAGCCCAATAGGGATACAAGTTTGCCAGGTCTCTCACTGGCTGATAAAATCATTTGCTGAGTTTGTGTTTCTCCAGCAGGAAGGTTTCAAGTGGGAGTCAACACCAGAGACAGAAGCTGCATTTTCTCTCCTTGCTGTTCTTTGCTCCCCCTTTTTGTGTGTATGTCTTGTTTTGTCATCTCAGAAATGGGGTTGGACTTTAATAAGAGCAACACCAGCTTCAGCCCATCTCAACGGATTTCTTCTCTTTCCCCCCCAAAGTAGTTATTACCATCTGCAATACCATTTAATTGACTATCAGAGAAGAGGTGTGTGTGTGTGCGCGCAGGAGGGGGTCTCTTTTTAAATACTCCCTCCAGCTAAAGGAACAGGGAACAAAGGATATTGTTAAAATAAACCTTACTTAAAGCATTTGAATTGTAATGTATTAATGGTTTTTCCTTATCTTTAATAAAAGGTTTAAAAGAGTGTGTTTGCCATGGTACTAAACAGGCTGAGGCCTCTGAATAACAAATGCCAAACCGTATTCAACATCATATAATATTGGACAGTGATTGGAGCAAGTTAACACCTGTGACTCTTTGGGCCCATATACTCCCTCTAAATTGATACAATAGATGAAAGCTACTCTATAAATGTAATACAGGATTATTAGATCTTGCTGCAGCACGTGGCTGTTTACTGCCTCCCAAGTGCCCCCTCATGGGTAGGGTTGCCTATGTAGCTACCTTGCCTCTATTTCCCCTTCATCCCGGCCCCTTTAAAAACTCACACACTCCCCAGTGACCTTCTAAACTCAAGCCTTTAATTGACTCTTCACTAGTTCTCCTCAGGCTGGCAACAGTCTGCCAAAAAAACACAACTCACACATACACACAGTTTTTCATCTCATCTTCCCTTCTTTAACAGCCAGTCACAGGCTCTCTCTGGCTAGGGCTCTGCAGAAGCCCAACTTGTTCCTCAGAACAGCTCCTTCCACCAGCCCCAGCTGGCTTCCAAACAGAAAGTACAACAGGCACCACTACAGCGTCTTGCTGCCTTTATATTCGAATCACCTGATTCCTCTTCATAGAATCATAGAATATCAGGGTTGGAAGGGACCTCAAGAGGTCATCTAGTCCAACCCCCTGCTCAAAGCAGGACCAATTCCTTCCTTCGGTGGGGATCATCTTGTAATCAGGGTTGTCTTGGGCCCAGGCTCTCCAGCCTATGGGCAAGATGCCCAGTTACACTTGGGACTGGGGTGAAATATTTTAAAATGGCTGAATAATAACTACAGCTCTGGGCAACAATGATTGCTGGTTTGAAGAAATGGACATGTGCCCAGGGTTGGAAATGGATCTTTCACAACATTGCAAGAGTTATATATGTTTTATTGTTTTCTGGTAGAAATTAGCAGGTTACAGTGGTCTCCAAGGCATAGAGTATAATACTGTTAAGATATCTATAGGTACTGCAAATAAAGATAGGTCCCATGTAACTGGCTGTATCTGGGAGGGATAAGCAGTAGGATGAAGTGAGGTTGAATTTGTGTGACTTTCCCAAGAAGCGGTAGTTTATCTGCATGGCACAGCACAGACCTTATGGGGCATTGGGGGCGTGGTAAACCCAACCGCCGGGGTGAGGTCCAGGTCTGAGCTGGTAACTCCAGGAGGAGGATGGAAAGTGAACCTCTGCAGGAGGCTTGTAAAGAAGAGGAAGAGCTCCATTTTGGCAAGAGTCTCGCCTGCACAGATCCTCCGACCTGTAACGAAATTAACCAGGGATGGAAGGATTTCAAAATTAGCAGCAACATAACAGATTTGAGTTTTAACTCTAGGAAAGAGTTGTAGATAAGCACTTAGCAATTATTAGCTGATTCATCCTCACAACACCAGTCTTAGAAAACAAGTGTTATCACCTCCATTTTATAGATGGGAAAATATGGCATAAAGTGGCTAAGTGACCTCTTTGAGGTCACTCTGGATGTACTGGACAAAGGAAGGACTAGAAATCAAAAGTTCCCCGTTCCTAGTACCTTGCTCAGTCCACCAGACCATAATGTCATCCAGGCAAGCTAGTGCCCATATGCAAGGGGACAGACAGAACCTCCTGAGCAGCCTAAAGGCCGGAAGGGAGCACGCTGTATCCTCTCTAAGGACCATTTTCACTTGCTCAAGGATTGGCAATGACAGGTTTTGGCAAGAGCCATCTCCTGCTCTCCTTTGGCTCAGGGTCCAGAGTCCACAGCCTCTAAAATTTCAGAGTGTCTGGTTCTGGATTTTGGTTAATCTCTGGAAACAATGTGATTTTCATGCTTAGTCCTTTCATGTCTCTTACTCAGCAGGGCTTAGAAATGCAATGGAAGTAGCAAACTCAACCCACAGAGACCAGAAGTGTATCTGTCTAGCCAACTGCGGAGCAGCATGGAGAGAGTTTTGCCCAGCCCTTCCTTGAATGCAAGGGCAGACTGAGATCCAACATGATGCTTTAGAAGGGGGAAGATACAAGACGAAGGCAAACTGCTGCCCTTGAAAGGAAGTTACCTGCTGAAAAAGGCATGAATGCCTCATTCTTCACAAACTTTCCATCTGTGCTGAGGAAATGCTGAGGATAGAATTCTCCAGGCTTCTCCCACTGAGTCTTGTCATACAACACAGAGGCCAGTAAGGGGATGATATAAGTACCCTGAAAATCATCACAAAATAAAAATTAGAAGAGTCAAAACTTTTCCATTGAACTTTGATTTCAACAACAAAAATAGCATTTTGTTGGCAACAAAAAAAAATTGTGGAAAAATTCCATTTTTGGCAAAATTTTCCCAAAACTAATTTTTTTTTTACTGATAACCAACATTTTTAGTAAGAACTGTTTTTGAAAATAGAAAATGTTCACCAAAAATGACTTTTAAACCGAGAAACAGCTTCTCTGTTTTTTCCTGGAAATTTCTAAGAAATTAAAAAAAACAACAACCCTCAATTAAAAATAACATCCTTAAAATAAATAATAATTAAAAAATTGCATTTTTCTACCAGCTCTAATAAAAATATCAGATTGACCATAAACTGTGAGCTTCATTCAGAAAGATAACGGGCCAGATCATCAGGTTTCATTGAGGTTTTTAAGGTCAGGCTTGATAAAGCCCTGGCTGGGATGATTTAGTTGGGGATTGGTCCTGCTTTGGGCAGAGGGTTGGACTAGATGACCTTCTGAGGTCCCTTCCGACCCTGATATTCTATGATTAACTGGTGTAAACTGGCATAGCTCTGCTCACTTCATTTGCACCAGCTGAGGATCTGACCGAGGACCAGTATCCTGCAGATATATCCCTTCCGGGGGTGCCCAGAGCTGGGGCTCTTTCCACTTCCCACCCTGCCTTGTTAATATTTCATGTCTTCATAGTTGACAAATTCTCAGGACAGCATCCCCCTGCCCTCTTTCCCATAAGCATGTCACAGGTTTGAACCAGAGCACTGCAGATACCACTGCATGTGTTACTTTTTGGTTTGTCTTATCTGAGCTCAGCAGCTCAGAAGTTTAAAGTTTGATTAGTCTGTGGATGGGAGTTGTCCAGATGAAGTCAAGAATGCTGTCAGAAGTGGTGTGGCTGGCTTCCTGCCCTATGAGCCAGAACTGACTGTGTTGGGTAGGAGGAGGTGGTGTGCTGTTGTTTGAGAAGGACTCATCACCATATGTGAAGCCAAAGTGCTCACAGAGCATTCAATCTGCTGTCAGTTTCATGATAGAACATCTTTCGTTCTCTTAAGTTAAAGAAAAAAGGAAATATTCAAAAAATATCCTCCCTTCTCATTCAAATCTTCTTATGTGATTGTGTCTCTCTCTAGGGTTGTGCTAGCGGTAGGGAGGAGAATGGCCTTCTACTTTATCAAGAGCTATCAGAGTAACTCCTTTAGCTGCAGTTAGATGAGCTGGTACTTTTGATGCTGAAGCCCCCAGGTTCAATCCCTACTGAACACCATGGTGTTTATGTGCATGAGGTCATGTGATTTCTGGTCTGGAGAAATTTAAATAATCCATTGTTATTCTGTTTTAATTGGTGAGTATGAAGGTCCTGGTAATGCGTCTGACGAAGTGGGTATACACCCACGAAAGCTTATGCTCTAATACATCTGTTAGTCTTTAAGGTGCCACAGGACTCTTTGTTGCTGGTAATTAAAGTACCTCTTAAAAAAAAACTTACTTTAGGAATAACATAGCCATTAAGTCTGACATCCTCAGTAGTCTCATGAGGCAAGCTCATTGGCAGGATATTAGCAAACCTCTGAATTTCATGGATGACAGCGTCCGTATATGGCATTTGTATCCGATGTTCATAACAAAGCTGGGCAGATCCTATAACTCTTTCAACCTCTTCATGGACTTTTTCTGAGCAATTAAAAGAGAGTGAAAGCAGGTGCTCAGATACTATGGTGGTGGGAACCCCTATGAGAAACTAGACACAGAGAAGAAAACATACAACTGACACCCACTAAACAATATAATCCACACCCTTTAGGACACAAACATCTTGTTTCTAAAATGCTGCTGCTGACAACCTTAGTTACCTAGGCTGAAATGGAAGAAGACTCAGATGGGTAATTTGGGAGCAGAGGTAAGCATGCCTCTTCTAGCTGTGAATAGTAGTAACCTACTGAGTGCAGAGAAGGTATTGTCTCAGTGCAAAGAGTAGGGCTTTTTCTTTTAGGGTTCGATCCTGTGAGGTGCTAAACATCCTCCAATTCCACTGATTAATGAGAGTTGAGTGTGCTCTGCATCTGCTATAATCAGGCTCTTGAGGTTTGCAATACACTGTGGTCCCTTCCATCCTTACTGCAGTTCAGGATTTAGGGAGACCCGGTGTAGGGACATTAGGCAGCAAAGAGTGATTTAGTCAGAGGGAAAACTGCAGGGCCTTCTCTGAGTCCAGCAGCCTCAATAAAGAATTCCCTTTACTTTCATGACAGCCGAGTCTGTCTTCTCCCTATCGTGAAGGAGGACATCATGCCAGATGTCTTGTATTTGAACATGGGCGAGGACTGTGGTGTCTGTATGTGTGTGGACATAGTTTGTATAAAAGCACACTCAGTACATACAGAGTAGAGCAAAAAAGAATAGTCAAAAGGGTTCAGAAATCTTACTCTGAATGGCTGGGTATTTCATCATAAGCAAAAGGCCCCAGCGGAGTGTGGTGGAAGTTGTTTCCATCCCAGCTGTGAACAGATTACTCACAAGGCTTTGCAAATTCTCATTTTTGAAATGGGTATTGGGATTAGATTTTTCCTGTAAGTATGAAACTCCCAGTTAATGTTTAAAGAATATTGGCAATCAGGGAAAATCTGCCTTAACCACGCTGCACCCTTTCCCACCCCGTCGGTACCTCCTGCTGCCTGATGAGAAAGGCATCAATGAAACTTCTCTGGTCATTGGGATCTAATTGCTTCAGGTGTTTGATGAAAGTCTGCTCAGTAAAGGAGTACAGTTCTTCCAGATTATTAAAGATAGTCTTGTGATTTCCTGGTAGGAACCCAAGGGCGGGAAACATATTGAACAGCTAAAGGAAGGGAATAGCACAATTAGCCAAAGGGAACGCAGATTATAATGGTTAACAAATCATTCATGATCAACATGTGGCTTTAGAGTAATATGTATTGAGATGATAAACATGTCTTGTAAATAATAGGGCCTGTTTCTATAAGCCTTCCAGATGCAGAACTCCCACTGAGGTCAATGAAACAACTCTTGGAACTCTTCTTCTTCTTCTTCTTCATATGGTTGGGGTAGATGTACAGCAACAACTATAATTTTACATTCAGATGGTTAAGCCAGCTAGACTCCTGGGGTGTGTCTATAACCTTTTTATGCTAACACTTTATGCTGTCGCTGCTACTGGTGCTGTTGTGCTGATGATAGTAATGGTGGGAGAGCTTGTGTAGACCGGTCATCGGCCTTTTAGCAGCTGTGTCAATTAACTTAACCGGCACAAGCCGGTCAGCTAACTGATGGTGGTGAGGATTATGGACAGGGTTTTCCATGGACAGGTTATTCACTATAGGCAGGTTATTCCACCATTGCCCGTCATAAGAGTTTCTTGCTTGTTCCTCTGGAACATCTGGTGTTGCTTCCTTTAGAGACTCAGCAAGTTTTAGATGATATGGTTTAATCAGAAAATCCCAATTCACTGAAACTAGAATATTTCAAAGAAGCATATTGTTTTGATGACATTTTCAACAGGAAAGGTTTTGCAGCTCCAGGATGGAATTTTTGGCCAAGGGGATGCGGGGAGGGGAACAAACAATTCCCCAGAATAGCCAATAGCCCTGTGTTTAGGGCATTCATGCAGGATATGAGAGACCCAGGTTCAAATGGCTGCGTTGCCTGATTCTTCCACACCCGAGTTGAGTGCTCTAATCACCGTGCTATTGGCTGATCTGCGATTAAGATCTCTCTCTTTTGGAAATATTTTGAAATCCCAAAAATGGATATGGAATAAACCAGACGAACTAATATTACCGTAACCATGGGACTCCCAGAGAGCCGGACACTTTCATTAATTAAATGGATAAGCCTGAGAAACTTTGGATCCTCATAATCAAACCGGTGTCCAAGCATTATCGACACAATGACATTGGACACGGCAGCATTCATCATCTTCATGGTGTCAAAGGCGCTTCCTGAAAAGCATTAAACGGCAACATTCATCATTTTGTTGGTATCCAATGGGTTTCGTACTGGAAACCATTGAAATAACTGACCTCCTTGTCCCCTTTTGGGATGACTTGCATTCCTTGGGGCAATAAAAGGGAGCTCCTTTAAGCAGAGGTACTGCTGGTGTGCAGAGAAGCAGGGCTCATTACACCTTTCCCTTATGTCAGATCCTCAGGTCAAACTTCCCGGAGAGTCAGTTTGAGATTTGCCTCAGTGAGGAACTGGCCCATTATTATTAAGCTAATCCTCCCAGCATCTTTCCCTCCCACCCTTCACACAGCCACCAATGTGCTCCAACTGGTTCCGGCTCGTCCCCTAAGTTCTGATGAGTTGGAATCAAAGGCAAAAGAGTCATGACTGAGTTAATTCCCAAGTGAGATGACTCCATGAGGGTGGGAAGAAGGGGGCTTCACAGGTCCAGATGTGGTTACGGACTTTGAATGATTACCAGTGTTACACTACGAAGCTCAACACGTGCTTACCTTTGTGGGATTCAAAATCCTTTATCAGATAATCGCATTCTTCCAGGATTTTGTTCTCAATGGTCCTCTTGCCCATACCAAAATCCCGTAAGGTCGTGAGAGTGAATCTTCTCATCACTTTCCAGTTTTCACCATGAGCAAAAATAATACCTGAAATGCAAGAGAACCCCCGCAAAAAAAACAAAACAAACCTCCAGGTAAATCTATTTTAATAGGGACAATATCATTCCTTAGTTTGAATATGAGCCGCCAGTGCCAACTAAACATAAACTTCCAGAATGCTCAGCCTCCCAAACACCAAAGGTTACATTTTCAGAGCAGTCCGCAGCAAGTAGTTGTTAATCATGCATAAAGAGTAACTTGATCACAAGGGCTGCTTTGCTTTCAACTTCACTTGGTCCTGCATTGGGTTATGTGCCTAGGTAAGACAAGCTTGTACTTCATCCTGCCTCAGTGCAGGGGTTGGACTAGATGACTTCAAGTTCCTTTCAACCCTACATTTCTATGGTTCTATAAGCTCCTATGGGGGGATTCACAAAGGTACTTAGGGGCCTAAACCCCAGACAGGTTTAAGTTCCTAATTCCCAATTTTAGGCCCCACTGAGATCCTACCAAACCCGATAAGTGTCTGAATTCATTTGGTGCCAAAATTTTCAGGATAAACATTCCCGAGGCTCCTATGTTTCTGCCTCTTTCTGGACACTTCTCTCCTGCCTAAGCCCCAGTGCAATCCATGACCTGGGGTGTTCACCTGCCTATCTCAGATTTCAAGCCCAATAGAGGAGGCAGAGGAGGTGGTACCCATTTTATAACTTTTAGCCCAGTAGTTAGAGCACTCACCTGGGATGTGGGAGACGCAGCTTCAGTTCCCCTCCGAGGCAGAGAAGAGACTTGAACAGGGGTCTGCTGAAGAGAGTGCGCTCACCATCCAGCTATGGGATAGTCTCCTTCAACCTCTCCTGTTGAAGCTGTTCCACTTTGAATAAATCATTAGAGTCACTAGACCAGGGGGAGTGGCCCCTGGATACCCCGGATGAGTGCCCTGACCACCAGGCTAAGAGACATTCATTCTCTCGCTTGCTGGCACAAAGACTCTTTTCTCCAAAGAGGAACAGCTTCTGCAGGAGAGATGGAGAGAGCCCTACTTCAGAATAGCCCATTGCTCAGTGGGTCTAGCACTCGCCTGAGAGGTGGGAGATGCCTCTCCCAGTCTTTTGTTCCCTGTCTGTCTGAGGAGGGAATTGAACCTGTGTCTTCCACATCCAGGTGAGTGCTCTAACCACTGGGCTAAAAGTTATAAGGTGGGTGGTGCCACCAGCACCTCCTCCTGCTGCTGTTTCGTGTGGATTGTATTAGGGCTTAAGCAGGAGATATGTGTCCAGATGCCTAGGAAGATGCAGAAACATAGGAGTCTAGGGCCTGTGAAGGCAGGCACCTAACACTGATTTCAGAGGGGTAGCCATGTTAGTCTGTATCAGCAAAAACAACAAAGAGACCTTCTGGCACCTTAGAGATTAACACATGTATTTCGGCATAAGCTTTGGTGGGCTATAACCCACTTCATCAGATGCATGGAATGAAAAATACAGTGGGCAGGTACAAATATACAGCACATGAAAAGATGGGAGTTGCCTTACCAAGTGGGGTTCAGTGCTAACAAGGCCAATTCAATCATGGTGGATGTGGCCCATTCCCAACAATTGACAAGAAGGTGTGAATATCAACACAGGGGAAATTATTTTTTGTAGTGACCCTGCCACTCCCAGTCTTTATTCAGGCCTAATTTGATGGTGTCAAATTTGCAAATTAATTCCAGTTCTGCAGTTTCTCGATGAAGTCTGGTTTTGAAGGTTTTTTGTTGAAGAATGGCCACTTTTAAGTCTGTTATTGAGTGTCCCGGGAGACTGAAGTGCTCTCCTACTGGTTTTTGAATGTTACAATTCTTGATGTCTGATTTGTGTCCATTTATATCCCTTGAATAGATATGCGGACAGAGGTAGCAATGGGATTTGTTGCAGGGATTGGTTCCTGGGTTAGTGTTTCTGTTGTGTGGTGTGTAATTGCTGGTGAGTACTTGCTTCAGGTTGGAGGGCTGTCTGTAAGCGAGGACTGGCCTGTCTCCCAAGGTCTGTGAGAGTGAGGGATAGTCCTTCAGGATAGGTTGTAGATCCTTGATGTTGCACTGGAGAGGTTTTAGTTGGGGGTTGTAGGTGCTGGCTAATGGCGTTCTGTTACTTTCTTTGCTGGGCCTCTCCTGTAGTAGGTGACTTCTAGCTCTGTCAATCTGTTTCTTCACTTCCCCAGGTGGGTATAGTAGTTTTTAGAATGCTTGATAGAGATCCTGAAGGTCTTTGCCTCTGTCTGAGGGACTGAAGCAAATGCAGTTGTATTTTAGGGCTTGGCTGTAGACAATGGATTATGTCATGTGCTCTGGATGAAAGCTGGAGGCATGGAGGTAAGTATAGCGGTCAGTAGGTCTGTCCGCATATATATTCAAGGGACACCATCATAGGACCTAACCACATCAGCCACACCATCAGGGGCTCGTTCACCTGCACATCTACCAATGTGATATATGCCATCATGTGCCAGCAACGCCCCTCTGCCATGTACATTGGCCAAACCGGACAGTCTCTACTCAAAAGAATAAATGGACACAAATCAGACATCAAGAATTATAACATTCAAAAATCAGTCGGAGAGTACTTCAATCTCCCTGGACACTCAATAACAGACTTAAAAGTGGCCATTCTTCAACAAAAAACTTCAAAAACAGACTTCAATGAGAACCTGCAGAATTGGAATTAATTTGCAAACTTGACACCATCAAATTAGGCCTGAATAAAGACTGGGAGTGGCTGGGTCACTACAAAAAATAGTTTTCCCTCTGTTGATACTCACACCTTCTTGTCAACTGTTGGGAATCAGCCACATCCACCCTAATTGAATTTGCCTCGTTAGCACTGACCCCCACTTGGTAAGGCAACTCCCATCTTTTCAAGTGCTGTATATTCATACCTGCCTACTGTATTTTTCACTCCAAGCATCTGATGAAGTAGGTTATAGCCCACGAAAGCTTATGCCCAAATACATTTGTTATTCTCTAAGGTACCACAAGGACTCCTCGTTGTTTTTACCTAACACTGAGTTACACACCTAAGCTGTCTGACTCCAGGAGAGGGGTTTCTGCTTGTGGATTGCTAGCAGACCTAGGTGCCTCCATGCAGCCCACACTTAGAAACCTATCTCAGTGAGAAGTTTCAGAGTAGCAGCCGTGTTAGTCTGTATCCGCAAAAAGAAGAACAGGAGGACTTGTGGCACCTTAGAGACTAACAAATTTATT